TTATTTCGAGTCAGAGGGACTGTCAGGCATGTCTGAAAGTGAGTAACTTTAGTAACTTGTGTATCAGCACTGACGCAAGACGCGAACTGTTTCGAACGATTCAGTCCGATTTAGTGTACTGGTTCGACCGGTTCACTAAAAAGAACCGGTTCAAAAGAACGATTCGTTCACGAACCGGCCATCACTACCACACACAGCCTTTTGAAAACGCTTTCCCAAGTGGATACATTTGTAAACGGCGTAATCACGTTGTAGAGCTTGTGTCTTTCGCAGGGTCTCGCACATGATGTGGCATTCTCAAAACACACGCTCCACGTTGTAGAGTGGACTGTGAAAACGCATGTTAAGTCATGTGACGCATATTGAACCGATATATATGTTTATACCGGTATTTATATCACAGTCCTGCAAAGATGACAAAATTGCATTTGCTGTCCTGTGGCAAAACATGAGAGCAGTTGCGTTTTAGACCAATCATATAATGGTGACTGAGTGCGACCTGATAGACGCATCAGTGAATGGTGAGATTGCTAAATAAAATGATCCTGCCAGAAGAATAGCTTGAGAACTTTAGGTAATATGCTTTATTTTAAGGTTTCCGTGTTACTGTGTAATTATAAGCACTGAGTAATAATAATTTACAACATGTACTTACTATAGGGTTAGGATTAGGGCACGGTTTAGGATTAGTTGCACGTAATTATGCATACGAAACGTAATTTATAGTAATTACAATAGTAACTACATGTAACGTGTCACAAGGACACTGTAAAAATAAAGTGTTACCAAACTTTATGATGTGTGTTACATCTGTATCATCTCAGTGAGCTTTTATGAGGTTTTACGCATGCGCAGTAAGCAAAGTTAACATTTACGACATTTCAGTGGATGAGAAACTTTTGGATAATGTCAGTGTGGACGGAAAGCATTTTGAAGCTGTATCAGGATTAATGTAGACGTATGTTTATACCGACATCGTTGTGCTTGCTATTCATTTCCATTAGACATTCCTGCAAAGATGACAGAAAATCGCTGTCCTGCTGCAGCAAAACATGAGGGCAATTGCGTTTTAGACCATACATTGAATAGCGATTTTGAGTGCGACATGGACACACCAGTAAGTGGTGGGACATATTTTGCTAATAAAATGACTGTGCCAGAAGAATAGCATTACACTTTATTATATCTGGTCTCTCGGTATCATCTCAATGAGCTTTTTTTTAAGTTGTATCAAAGTCCTTTTAGGCAAGTCATGCCACTCGGCCGCCATCATGGCAACGCCTCCGGGCAGCTATTTCGGACTAACAAGACCAGGCTCCTATCTAAATGAATGGGCAGAGATTCAGAACTGCAGTTTCACTGGTCACCGGGACATAAAAACTGCATGTATACAAACACTAATAAAATATGATAAAAATCGCTGAAAAAGTGATGACTTTGCCCCAAAATAAGGTTTAAAACGCCCTTTTTCCCCACAGGTTATACTTTTACTGCGCATGCGCAAGGGTTCTCTCGCTCTCTGTCGTGCGCGCGCTACTGCTCGCTCGCTCTAGATTCCGGGAGATTTGAACTAATTTGCAGTCATCATGGAGCCGCTATCAATCTGAGGGAGACTCCCGGAACTTCCGGGACACTTGGGATGTCTGATATTTACACAACTAACACATCAAATCTGCCGCCTTTTCAAACAGTAACATATTTTCCGCTGTCGCAAACCTCAACTGTGCGCATGCGTCGGTGGAACCAGACGATAGGCTTAAATGTTTTCCGGCTTGACTGTTAAAAGCAGACGATTGGCTTTCCAGCGGGAGGGGTGGGGCATGTGCATACAACCGCCATCTTTGGCGTTACGGGTTTTCCCTATATAGTTGTATTAAGGATTGGGGAAGTGGCATGTCTCTATATAAATAGTCTCTGGTTGTATGCATGCACAGTAACCTTTTTTGCTTTTAAAAACACGAGAAATAGGACAGTGTAACCGAAAAAAAACAATGTATATAGAGATGCATTTAAAAGAAATTCAAAGTGTTGGGGAAGCTACTTTGAAACTGTAGTTTGACAAGCTACAAGCTACTCGTAAGTTAAAGTAGTTAAACTACAGTCAAGCTACCCTTTTGGAAAAGTAGTTAGCTACACTACAAGTTACGATCAAAAAGTAGCTAGCTACATTGAAACCACTTTTGCTTTTGAACATTGAACAACATATATTATAAATAACTGAATAAGTGTCTGAGGAATGTTTTAAGTAAAATATTTAGTGTTTAAAACAATGCAATACAATTATGATTTTTATTGTTTTATTACACACAACACTCAAATATCTCAGACTGTGTCAAAAGTGCAAAATTGCAACAAATACAACATTGCAAGAACAAAATATGCAAGAACAACGTAAATTGCATGTCAAAAATACCGATTGTGACTGTGAGATGGTTGCATTTTGGCAAGAAAATACATTGAACAAGCGCTCACATGTGGCACTGACAATGCACGTTAAACTCGCTCACATGCAGTGATGGAGCTCGCAGAATTTACTGTGAAAGAAGAACCTGAATCACAAGCTGCTTGTGAGCACAGTTCGGTTAGCTCTGAAACCAGTCACAACAAATCTATACACCAATTTAATTAGATCAAAGCCTTTGTCGTGCGATAAAAAAAACTAAGATTACATTTTTTGTTCAACTGACAAACACGATGGCGCAAACTTTAGTGGTCTTTTATGTTCATTACCAAACTGGCGGACAGATCATGGCGGTTCAATGTAATTAAATCAGAAATAAAAATTTGATGTAACATAGAGAGCAACAAAGCAGGATAATTAATACATTTAAAGTGGCCATTAATCACCTGTATGTGCGTCCTTAAATTTTTGCTTGAGGTCTTCTGTACGTCAGTGAACCGTTAGCCGCAAGATGCGTGATTAAACAACAGGTGGCGGTAATGGCAAAAAAAATTAGTTTGTAATCTAACAAGAAGAAGAATATCCTTGCATCGCGCTGATTCGCGCAGGCTCAACAACACGCCATGTAGCTTTTGCTCGCGCTACACCGCTACTTGCTGCAAAAAGTAGTTAGCTACTGGAAAAGCTACACTGTTTAAAAAGCAACTGTGCTACTGCCAAGCTACTGAAAAATGTAGTTAAGTTAGTAGCGTCGCTACTTGTAGTTAACTACTCCCCAACACTGCCTATGGCTGATAGGTTCTTTAACTAATTCTGCTTGTAATCACATCATTCTCTATAGGGCGCAGCTGATTGGTTCCTGCTGTATCAGTAGCCAATGAGCTCGCTGCTCAACCTTCAAATACCCGTCAGCATTCAGAAGCTTTCAGAAACCCTCCACTTCCCCAGCTCCACCTGTATAGATCTGCTACGGGTAATTCATGTACGCTACAGTATATTGTACAGCAGCAGCATGTCTTACTTGCTCACAGCAGCGTGTCGTGTGTGTAAGTCTCACACTTGCTCTGCAGCAGCGTAGCAGATATATTCCTCCAAGACCAAACATATCAACATTGTCAAATCCATTTCCATGCCAAACACTCAGAGATTTGTCATGACAGACCTTTAACTTGAGCGTGTGTTTTTAGAATGCCACATCATGTGCAATACCCTGCAAAAGACACAAGCTCTACAGTTAAAGACGCCCATCTAGCACACGTTTACATTGAAAGACTATGGAAAAGTAGTGCTGTGGAAAAGCGTGTTCTGTGTGGACGGACAGCCCCTATAAGATGATTTAAGAATTTTCCAAGCAACTTTTGGAAAACGCTTGAAAACATTATTGTTTTTATTTTCAATTTTTGTATATATATATTTTTTATTCAGTTAACGTTTATTATATTTCAAGTAACGAAAATACTTTTATGGTTTTAGTAACAATAACCCATGTATCCTCCATTAGGAATTTATTATGGAATTAGAAATTAGTAAATGCATCCCATGCACTATCTGTTCTCTCCCAGTTTGACGTGTCTGTCTCCCACCCCTGATTTCCTGATGATCCCCTGCAGGGTATCCTTTATGCAATCAACATTATGGAGCCAAGCTTCACCAAACATTAAACACTAATCTAATCTTAACATTCTCTTCATTACTGCATGAACAACATGCTCAGACGTAGACGGTCAGCCCAGCGCTGAGCTTCTTCTAAATAATGTTTTCTGGAGGAGGAGCCGTTGCTGATAGCTTATCATGGTTATCCATTTATCTGCAGTTATCTATTCACCATCCAGATTTGTGCAAAACAAAAAGTTGTAGTCTATATTTAGATGATTATTGCTGAGTGTAATTGATTATCCTCGTAAATTAAATTTGCCCCAAGACTGCATGTTGGCAAAAAGCCAAAAGTAACCCTGTTCACCAAACAATTTTAAGATTCAAGATGTTTTGCAAAAGCATTACAAACATAGGCTATGAGTATGTACAGATTGACACGTACAGTGACGTTGAAAAGTACTTAGACACTTCATGTGTAATGCGTTTCTCATACCTACATTCACTTTTCTTTATAATTTTTAGTCAGTGACAAATCAAAATGGTGTTTTGGTGATTTTTAGAGACATAAGTCTCTACACTCCCCTCAATATCTAGTAAGATGCTTGTGTAAACATACTAAAAAAATCACCAAAACCGGTGGAAAAGTGTGTGTTTGTGTGTGTGGTTGTGGTGGGGGGTGGGGGAGTCAGCAGGCAAAGGTTCAGAAACTTTTAAGGTTTGTGAAACCCATCCTGAGACAAATACACAAAGTGTGTCTATGAAAACTTGATAATATTTTTCCCATCTAATGCAATGCTTGTCGCCGGTATATAGATATAAATCGACCTGTTTTTAAAACACTTTTGTGTGTGTTGTAGTGCAGGTCAATCCCCCCAAACAATTTCCCTCTGCTGTCGTGTTTGTGGTGGGGGTCAGTTTACACCCATACCTGCCCGCCCACCGTAGTGGGATGATCCCGGTACATCCACGAGCCACAGACGCTCCTCCGGCATTCAGTTCAGATTCACAAACCAATGAGACACAGCTCGTGTTAGTCAGTAAACGGAGATTACCAGAGCTTTCACATGTGGATACGGATCACGACACACGGTAAGCGCAAATCTAGCACTTAGTGTACGAGCAGTGAATAAATATCCGATCAGATCATGTTCATTCAGCATTTATATCGACTTTAATTTACAGAGTCATGTTGGCATAAATTCATGTTCGTGAGTCTGTGTAAACAAACAGCGGAGTTTGTGTTCATTCAATATAAACGGTCATTGTTGATCTTAAAAATATTCTCAGTTTGAAGTACGAATCGGCTAATTATTATTTTTGTTTTCTATAAATAATTGATGTCACTGCAGCTTTCGTTGAGGTTTATGTGGATACTATTGGAGCTACAAATTAGTGTTTAAATAAGAAGGATAAATTAATTAAAAGGTTAGTTTTTTTTCATATAGCCTAAATGAGCCTATCTGCATGAATTGCATAATATTGATAGTTTTAAAAACGGAATATTTTGGTGCTTTAATGTAATTTGCATGCATAAAGTAGAACATGAACATATTTTACATTACATTTAAATGGTTGATTTTTATTTATTCTTCAGATGAATGAATATTATTGTATGTAATAACTTAATTAGTCTTTTTATCATTTACTCAATGTAATATTTATTTAAAAGTGTGTTTAAGATTTTTTTTTCTTAAAGGTAGTATGTAATTCCTACGCCTCTAGCGGCACCAAACCGAATTGCAATAATAATGACTAGCTGAGACAATTCCCATACCTTCATCTACAGCATTGCATGAAGAACGTATTTCATGTCTGTAGGTTCTGCCTAGAATGTGCCAAATACAGTCGTATACAATACTCATACAGTCAGCTAGGATGTGGCCTTAAAAGGCAGCAGCTTGTGTAGGCAGTAGACAGCAAGAACGCTCATCTGGTTTTGGAACAGAGCCGCAGTTGTTTAACACATTAAACAGAGATGAAAGAAAGTATTAATTGAGAAAGTACTATGACAAAATGTTGTTTTGAAAATGCAAGATTTTGACCTAAATACAACATTTTTAGAGAGGGAATTGTTTCTGCATGGAGTATGACCTCTGCTCTCATCTAGACTAGGAAATTATGTAAGTTTATTACCTGAAGTTTAAACAGTGCAAAAGAGGTATAAGGATGAGTTGGGTTGGTGTTGTAGTAGAAGCTTTAAAAAAAGAATAGACTCCAGGTAGAAAAAAGTGAGGTGAGCGAGTTTTTTTGGAAACCCCAGACTCAGTATCCTAATACAATTGACAGACACAAACCCAAAAAGACAGTTTACCAGCAAATTAAGAGCCTTTTCTCAATTTGTATGGTTTTAATGCATTACGTTATGTGTAAATGGATAGGGTAATGCTCGTAACCCTCCCCTTCTAAAGGGTTTTACTTAGTTTAGGTGCACAGACCATGCACTAACTTTCCGCAAGGTCAGCAGTACCACTTGAAACCAGTCTAAACACTCCAAAAAAAGTAGACCAAACGCAGGGATTACATCTGTCCTTGAACCACAAGTGAGGTCTCTTCATACTGGTGTATTGTCTTCCAAGCCCCAAAATAGGATAAACATGTGTCTGATGTGCAGATGCATGTAAAATGTAAACATCAGCATGATGCTGAGGGCTACGGTGCTCCTCTGCTGCCTTTCCTATCATCGTGCAGATGTTTTAAGATATTGTAGTGTAGCTTACATTAAGGTCCAGTATCAGCTGGCAATCTACAATAAACTCTTTGCAGTGTTTCTGAGTGTAATGCCCTGAAGGTCACTGCAAAAGTTACAACCCTGCTTTAATGCATGCTTTTTATTATCAGTGACGGTGTGTCTATAAATGTTTATCCCAGCACTTCTGTGATCATTTCAACAACTGTAACACAGCAATAATGATCCTGCTCTCTCTGGCTCAGCAGCAGCGCCAACACAGAACTGAATGTTCGCTGTGATCGTACTTGTCGAAGCTTTAATAGACAGTCGAATCGTTATCATTTAGGAATTAGATTGTGTGGGTATATATATATATATATATATATATATATATATTATTTCTCTAGGTGTTATTTTATGTCACTTGTAAAAAGAGAGAGAATTTTTTTATATAGCTATATATATATATATATATGTATATTATTTATAATTTTTTACTATATAAAGTAGCAGATCTTAGCTGGCTGCATCTCATCTGAGGGGCTGACAGACACTTTGAGATGAATAAATGCGAAAGGACTTGGATCACCACTAGGGCGGACGCTCAAAACACAGAAGAGAAGCCCACGGGCCGCGTGCAATGACCTTTTTCAGATTATATGCAAGTGCTGAGCCACACCGGCTGCCGGGATGCATGGCCCACACTGTAACCCCTACTGACTGGAAGTGAGCCCTATGTAGGGAACACGCTTCTGACTAGTTGTTTTCCAGGCCTTTCCAACACATACTCATCCCGGTGAGACCACATCAGTCTCAACTGCTGTGATACGGTATCCCGCAAATGTCTTTTATGGGTCCAGGAACGGAAAGGCAGCAGCTGTTTTTTTTTATCGCGTAAACTCCATCAAGCCAAATGTTGCTCTCTTCTTTCAGCCGTTCGAGTGCAATCACGTAAACAGTCATTTCCCCATAAGGAAACTTCGCATTTGTAGCACTAATGTGTGGCTGTGTTAACAGTGTGAAGCTCAGGTTACTAATTACAGACTGAAGGGTCTTGCAGATTCTTTAAAGTGATTGACCACCTTATGAATTCCAAGGAATTAAAAGGAAAAGTTTACACCTCACAAATCTGCCTTTTATCTCACAATTGAAAGTCATACCCCCGGGTTTCTCAGACCAGGTTTAAGCTATAGTCCCAGACTAAAATGCATTATTGATCTGTTTTAACTGAATGCAACTTGCACTGGCATATCTTAAAATATGTCAGTGTCATTGTTTTGTCTCAAGATGCACACCAATAATGTCTTTTTTATCAAGGCACATTTATAAAAGCTACTTAGTTGTCCTAGATGTTAAACTGAGGCTTAATCTAAACCCTGTCTGTGAAACCAGGCCATAAACTCAAAAATATCTTGCCAATCTGACTTTTTTCCTCAGAATTCTGTTTCTTTGTTTCCGTCACTAAATTAAAAAAGGTAACTTTTTATCTTGTTTATCTCTCACATATCTTAGTTTTTTCCTCAGAAATGCGAATTGTCAAAATCACAAGTCAAAATCACTTTTTAAAATTTTGGTCACACTTTAGGGTCCAATTCTCACTATTAACTAACTATTATTAACTATGACTTTTGCCTCAATAAACTCCTAATTACTGCTTATTAATAATTACTAAGGTAGTTGTTACATTTAAGGGATGTAGAATATGGTCATGCAGAATAAGACATTTATATGTGCTTTATACTAATAAACAGCCAATATCCAAGTAAAGTAACTAATGTCAGCAACTAGTTCATAGTGAGAATTAGACCCTAAACTAAAGGGTTACCTAATTTTTTATTCCATATTTATGTGTGTGTGTTTTATGGGCTGACTGATGCATTTCACTCTCTATGTACTGTCATCCAGTCTTTTTTTTTTCCTTCTTGATTTATTTACTCTCTTTAGTATTAATATTAAATGGACAAATCCCGATGCGGGACGTCCCCGCCGGCCCGACTGACAGCTGTGGGAGCGGGTCGCTCATAGTCACACATCTCTTTAATTGTCCTGGGCTCGGCGAGGTTGCACTGCCGTCCTGCCAGGTCCAATCAAACCTAGCGCCGCGCGGATCCTTCATCACACATGAAGGGGCTTGTGTCCTTTGTCACGCTCACAAGACATTGTTCTGACAGGGCCGGTAACCAATGATCTTTTCCTCAACTCGACGCTGGCTTCGCTGATGTGGTGGGGGGCTTGAGGGGAGATTAGGGGGCTATTTCTGTGGCACTTTGGGCCTGTTTGCGACCAACGACCCAGACTAGCGGCTAATGAGAGAGGACAGCTGACAGGTTCGGTGGAGGTTATGAAGCAAGATGAAATGGCAGTGAATCACATGGCGTTTGAGAGTGATTGAGAGCTGGCTTTCATTTTATTTTTAGGAGAGGAAAAATTTATCCCAAACTTAAAACTCATTATTTATGTAGTTTCAGTTTAAGAGATATTTCACCCAAACATGAAAATTCTGTCATTAATCACTCACCCTCATGTCGTTCCAAACCCATTAGACTTTCATTCATCTTCAGAACACAAATGAAGATCTTTTTGATGAAATCTGAGCGAACAATTCATATGGATTCGTTTTACGATCTCTTTATGAACTTTTTGAAGCGTCAGTTGCGTAGACTGTCAATGGAGGGACAGAAAGCTCTCAGATCTCATCAAAAAGATCTTTATTTGTGTTCTGAAGATGAACGAAATCTTATGGGTTTGGAACGACATCAGGGTGAGTAATTAATGACAGCATTTTCATTTTTTAAGTCTTCTGAGGAATGAAAGAGGAACCTCTGAGAAGTACGTATAAGTTTCCTCTAAGCTGAGAAAAGGCTGATAGAATAGATAATTATTGCTTCTATTAAATATGAACTCTCCCATACTTATTTGCACTGCCAACTTACTGTTGATTTGTTAAGTGTTTTATGGGCCAGTTGTTGGATTCAGGTCACAAATGGTAATCGATTCAATATCACTGGTAGTGTTTTGTGTTTGTTGTCACTGAGTGAAAATTGGATTGAGGATTGTTGTGTCCCAGTTGATGGTTTGATGTTGGACAGGAGGACTGGATCCTCCCCCATCAGCCCATCATGACCCCTCTGACCCCATCACAAGTCACGTTTGCTTGAACCGCTGCTGTGAACACTTGGGTCTGCAGTGACTTTAACATGTGTCTGGCATAGTCAGCAAGCGCTGTGAGAACATGCTTTAAACATACAGACAATTTATCTGAGAAAACAAGGCTCTGGAGGAACAAACTAAACAACTTTTATCACTTCTATCCCATGAGAGCAGTTTTTTTTCTGGATCATGACAATCAAGTTAAGACTTAACCTTCTACATTATCCGTAATGTAATTTGAATTTGATCATTTGATTTGTTGATCTTAAAG